CACCATCATCACCGCGACTACCACATCTATCATCATCATGTATCATCATCATCACCATCATCACCGCGACTACCACATCTATCATCATCATGTATTATCATTATCACCATCATTATCATCATCATCACCGCGACTGCCACATCTATCATCATCATGTATCATCATTATCACCATCATTATCATCATCTTTTTATAATCATTACTACAATATTGTCACCATCATCCGTCGCCATCATCATCACCATCATCCCCATCCCCATCATCATCACCATCATCATCGCCATCATCATCACCATCACCATCACCACCATCATCATCATCATCATCATCATCGCCATCATCATCACGATCATCACCATCATCATCATCACCATGACCATCTATCTATCATTATCATCCACAATTCAAGTAGTTCACCATCATCATCATCGCCATCATCATCACCATCACCATCATCATCACCACCACCATCATCATCATCATCACCATCACCATCACAATCTATCTATCATCATCATCCACAATTCAAGTAGTATGTTCATCATCAAAATCACCATCACCATCATAATAATGTATCATCATCCCCACATCCATCATGATCAATAACAACACACTCGCCGTCATCATAAATTTTCCGTCTCAGTTGTTGGTAACGATTTTCTGATCCAAGTATCACATACCTGAAGGCAGTGCTACCACCTCATATTTGCCGACTGGTAAGATCCCAGCATTCTTCATTGACATTGTCTTTCCAGAAACTGTTACATCAGTACAATGAAAACAAGTTATTGACAGATTACAACAAACCTGATGATTGGAGTCTGATAAAGATAATGATGATGATTGATAAATGATGATGATGGATGATAAATGATTGCTGGTGATGATGATGATGAATGATGATGATGTTGATGGATGATGGTGGTGATGATAAAAATGTAGGTGATGATGATGGCGATGATGATGGTGATGATGATAATGAAGGTGATGATGATGGCAATGATGATGGATGATGATGRTGGTGGTAATGATGATGATAAATGATGATGGTCATGATGATGATGGCCATGATGGTCATGATGATGGGAATGGAGATGAAAGTGGAAATGGTCATGGTCATGGTCATGGTGATGATGCCGATGACAATGATGTTGAGGAAGGAATTGTTTCCATGCACTCACTGCATACACTACTCACCAAATGATTTCCTGCCACTTATAATCTTGACCATAGTAGATGGAAAATATCCAACTAGTTCCCTCTAAAAACAAACAATGAACAATATCAATACACAAATAAAGACACAAGGAAACACTTCACATCTTGGCAAACAATTTAGTCTTTCAACCTCCATTTTCCTGTCATCAAGTGAATTTCGTAAAGGCTGTCTTCTTACCTTGCCAATTGTGACCTTTCCTTTCCATCTTCCACTTTCATTCTGCTCCAATATCTGGTGGAAAAACACATGGGGTATTATTGAAAGGACGTGAGAAGTGCAGTGTGGAGCCACACTATGCCTCGCTTATCAAATGGACCCCTTTATACCATGAGCGTAATGCTTTCTCATTTTAGACCATGTGTTATTCTTTTGACAATAAGATTGTTTGTTTGAGTTGTATTCATATTCATGTGTCTTCTCATGTACAACTGTTAAACAAAGAAATGATACTCTAGGGAATAACATGTGGTCTGAAATGGGAAAACGTTACACCCAAGGTAAAGAGATATATTCTCATGTACAACCATTAAATAAAGAAATGATACTCTAGGGAATGACACATGGTCTGAAATGGGAAAACATTACACCCAAGGTAAAGAGATATATTCTCATGTACAACCATTAAATAAAGAAATGATACTCTAGGGAATAACATGTGGTCTGAAATGGAAAACCATTACACTCAAGGTAAAGAGATATATTCTCATGTACAACCATTAAATAAAAAAATGATACTCTAGGGAATGACATGTGGTCTGAAAACATTACACCCAAGGTAAAGAGATATATTCTCATGTACAACCATTAAATAAAGAAATGATACTCTAGGGAATGACAGGTGGTCTGAAATGGGAAAACATTACACCCAAGGTAAAGAGATATATTCTCATGTACAACCATTAAACAAAGAAATGATACTCTAGGGAATAACACGTGGTCTGAAATGGGAAAACATTACACCCAAGGTAAAGAGATATATTCTCATGTACAACCGTTAAATAAAGAAATGATACTCTAGGGAATAACACGTGGTCTGAAAACATTACACCCAAGGTAAAAAGATACTTTCAAATTTCACAGAAATAAGGAAAATGTCAGACAAATCTTTATCAAAGGTTCTTCTTATTCTATTTTTAGTGCTGCATAGAAAGAATCTTTTGTAAAAAACCAATAGTATGTCTTACCTCAATGACGTCACCAGTCTTAAATGCCAGACAGGTAGGGTCGTAGATGTTTTGATAGTCATGTAAGGCTTTTGCCATAACTATCTTAGTCTTAGATGCATCTGGGTTAAAAAACATAGGGGAAAAAATCAAAGACAAGCATGAATGAAAACTGTATTGATGGTTTTCAACCATTCCCAAGAGAATTAAATAACAAAAGACACTGTGGCCATGTTGGATATAACAAAATAATTCATTGACAATTCGTTTGTTAAGTTCCTCCAACATGGCCGCCGTGAAAACCATCAATTTATTTCAATATCCCTCTTTACCTTGGGCATAATGTTTTTCCATTTCAGATCACTTGTCATTCTCTTGGAAATACATAATATCCTTTTTTAAGTCATTTTCATATTCATGTGTCTTTCCTCTTATGTCCTAACATTAGGAAAAGAAATGATACTCAAGGAAATGACACATGGTCTGAAATGGGAAAACATCAACAAACTCCCAAGGTCTAGGTGAGGATGTCTAATGCAACTGAAACCTGTAAAATAGAATACAGAATCTCTGAAGACCAGATCTGAAATTTTGAGTCACAGTTCCCCTCTATCACAGGCACTCCTGATTTTTAACTAATTTGTGTGAGAAGAATACAATACAATACCTCTTAGAAGATCCTTGATCTCCTGTGATGCTTTAGAACTTGTGAATTGCATAACAAGGTCTAAGGGTAGGTGTCCTTCATCGTTGGATATGTTTACCTCAGCACCACTCTGGTTTATAAAAACAAAACGTTTATCCCAGGCCTCAAAACAAGCATTAGCAACTATTAATTAAGGAATGGTCAATGCTTAGCATGCATATATCCAGTTATCGGCTATGCCTCATACAACTCTTATGCTTCTTTCATGCTTCCTACCTCCCAAGTGCATCCACAACAGGATATATGCACAGTTGCTTTTATAACATAGCAAAACCGTAAAAAATATTTGTTTATCAAAAAAAAATCAAATTTTGTTCTAATGAATTCTTCATTAATTAGTGTGGGCTACTCAATCATGTCAGCATGCACCATCCATTTCTGGACGCACGCTCACACATGCTAATTAACCAATCAGAGGCTGGGTTATATCATGGCTTGTTATAAAGTGCCATTTCTTTTCTTGACTTTGCTAGTTGAAACGAAATCTACAGTAATAACAAACATTTGCAAGTAAATGTTTGCCGGATCTGACCATTTGGAACATTACGATGGTTTTGCTAGTAAACATGAAGTTTCGCTATATATCTACTAAACAAATACCCAACATAGTTAGAAAGGAGAAGCTGAAGTATACTTACATCTAGAAGTATTTTAACAACATCTGTCTTGCCGTACAGGGATGCCTCGTGTAAGGGGGTTCCGTTTGCTCCTTTCTGATTAATGTCTGCACCATAATCAAGAAGCATCCTATTCAAAATAAAAGGAAATGGTTCTAAAAAACTGTCTAATTTATTCCTTGTGGTGAAGAGGAAGAGGGAGGGTGGATAGTGGAGGGAAGGGAAGGTGGGAGAAGGGTGAATGAAGGTGGAGAAATGGTAGAAGGAAGGTGAATGAAGATGGAAGGAGGATGGAACAAAGACCAACCTACCCACGTCCTAATAACCTTCCAACACCCAGCCAACACCTACTTTACAACTTACAGATAACTTACAATGCGAATCAAAAAACTGTGGGCACCTAGAATATTTCAAGAATGTTCAATAGCCAATCAAAAGCGTTATTGTTATCTTTTCGCTATCTTGTGGTTAGAAAGTCAATTCTAGTTGGCCAAAGAAGAATAGAACATTGAACATAGAAATTCGCACTGCGAATAATGAAATCGACTAACAGAAGAACCTAACATAAGATTAGCTTACACTACAATTTCTTCTCGTCCTGTTTTACAAGCAATATGCAAGGGAGGATCGGCAGTCTTTGGGTTTTGTTCGTACAGCAAAAGCAGTTTTTTACAGTCTTTACTTTTTAATAACATCTCCACAACCTGAAAAGAATAGAATAAATAATAGTTAGGCTGCATTCATAATGTATGACAGATTGGGGGGGGGGGGGGGGGTGCAGGTGAAAATTTGAAATGTCCAGAATAATTCTTAACACCCCCCCTTAAAGTCATGCAAAAAAAATATGATTCCTCTGAAGCAAGGCTTGTAGCTTCTTCCAAGGGTTGTGCATCCACCCCCCATTTTTCTGATAAAAATATGCCCACCCCCTCCCTCCCTTTTGCTACCAAAATTTTCCCGATCCCCCCTAAATGAACGCAGCCTTAGAAACCAAAGAGTGAGATAGAACATGTATTAAAGCACTACTTGGAAAAAAAGAGAATAATATGCAGGGTTTTATTTGTTTGTCCTTCTTTCCTGGGTAAAGGTGATCAATATGCCTACTTTGGCTTATCATCAAGCCTCACATTAGCTCTATATTTGCCCCCCAGGATGCCCCACAATGCATTGCAATCCAAGATTCTTCCTACCTGACAGTGTCCAAATCTACATGCCAAATCCAAAGCAGATTCTCCATTTTTATTTACAACTGTAGAGTCTACATTAGACTCTAGTAATACTTCAACCTTGATTATCAAAAAGAAAAAAATATGGAGAGAAAAGTTTTAAAAACTTTTAATAAATGACTGAAAATTGTCCCCCAAAAGAATATGTTGAGGGTTTTTGAAATGATTAATTTATGGTTTGCAACCGTTCCCATACCAAGAGAATTTATAGACCAAGAAATCGTGGCCATGTTGGTGATAATAATCAAGGAGGCTAGTAAGAAAACTACCAGCATGTGACCATAAATTTATGTTGGCAAATTTGGTTCTTTACGTTTAGACATCTTCAGTGTTTTACAAAATCTATTGTTCTTGCRGTTTAAGGGACGGCAGTGATAGTGTAAAGTACAAATAAAGAACAAAGACAGAAATAATACTCAAGGGAATGACGTATATCATGATGTAAGGGTTAACTCACCACTCCTACATTACAGTGTTGACATGCTAGATGAAGGGGAGTGTCTCCACTGTCGGCACACGTATTAACACAAGCCCTTGCATACACCAGTAGTTTGGCTATTTCTGTTTTTCCTGCCCAGCTGGCAAGGTGAAGTGGTGCCATGCCTGAACAAAAGCTTTAGCCTTTCAATATTTTTATTATTATATTTTTTGATAGTGATAATGGGATGATGATGATAATGATGATAATGGTGGTAGTGGTAGTGATAAAGATGGTGAAAATGATAATGATGGAGGTAATGATGGTGATGATGATGATAATGATTATGATGGTGATAATGATAATGATAATGATGATGGAATTAATGATGATGACAATGTCAGATGATAATGGTGATAATGATGGTGTTGGTTGTGATGATAGTGATTATGATGATGGTGGTGGTGGTGATAATGATAATGGTGGAGGTGTTGATTAAAATGATGGTGATGATTATCATAATGATGATGATGACAAAAATGAGGTGCTTGGTAATAGCAAAAGTGTTATAGTAATAATGTATGGCAGGTATGATAAATCATATGCCAGCTTGATAGTAATGATAATAATGATAATAAAGAAAATGGCAGTTATATGATGACCTGATGATGCTGATATTAATATTCAAGATGATGCAACAATCAACAATGAATATCGTTATAAAAATCAATTTAAAAAAAATAATTATAATCACAAATGGCAATCCTACAAACCTTTTTTATCTCTTGCATTAACATTGCATTGTACGTCCAGAAGTGCCATTGTAACATCTGTATTACCTTTGAGGGCTGCATGATGTAGGGCAGTGAATCTACAAATAAATCATTATCATATTACTGATCAATCCTGCTAATTTATTCCAGTTTTCTAAAGCCATCCAGTTTGTTACTCACCCATCTTCATCTTGTATATTTATATTAAATTTCTTTGCTGCTTTTTCTGAAGAAAAATAATCTTATTAAGGCATGGAAGTAGAGGGTTATGAAATTACAAACATACTAAACATGGTTTGAATTGCAAAGCTTAGTACATATGTCTGCAAGTGATGACAGATGTGTTTTTGGTAACATATTCACATTTCGTCGTTAATACTGAAAAATTTTATATAACAGCATATCTAAGCTGATTTTTTTTATGTAGACAAAAATTCATGAAAATTCAAATGATGAACTTTGGAGAGGGATGAAAATATTAGGAAGTTAGGGATTAAGTTTTGACATTTCTACAGCTCAAGCAGTTTTTCAGTCATTGAAATTAAAATCATTCTACTATAATTTCAACTGTTCAGCCAGATTTTTGGATTGAGAAATGTGAAATTTCTTCACAATAACATCAACTCTGGTTACTGTAACCTTGTTAGCATAGTCCTAACCACATATACCTCTAACAATTGTTTAAGTTTATAGCAACAGCAATAATATGTCATTATTATAATATCACAATATCAACACATACTGGCAATGAACATTTTTCTCAAGATGCAAGGATAACAGTAAAAGATGAAAAAAATAACACTTTTTTGGATGGAATTTGTGCATTTTTTTTTTTTTGCATTTCCATATCCTCGCATTCTGTATAATTTTGAGAAGGGCCCATTAATATTTCTAAGAATTACATATAAACTATATGATTAGATCATATCATGGAAATTGTATGTCGATTAATCATAAAAACAAAAGATAATAATAATAACAATGATAATAATAATAATAATAAATAAATGAATTACAATGTGTTTATTAGTATAATAATAATAAATATTTAAATACTACTTGAATACCATAAAATTTTCCATGAAACAATTTGGGAATAGGAGAGGAAGAAAAACAGCCATATCTTATATGGTAATAGAATGGTTTTAATCTGTTTTTAGCATATCATATCTCTTGCGGTAGTAATCGTTTTAGAGGCTTAAAAGCTTTAAAAAACACAGAATTAAAGGATTAAAAATGGCTATTAGACATATTATTCTTGAATTTAATATGGGTTCAAGATAACAAAAGAAAACAAGGCCAAAACATGAATAATTATTAAGTTTTTCCATTTTGAAAATTGAGTAAAAATTTTTTGTCACATGCGACAGCACATTACCAAAACATATTTAAGTTAGACCAATATAAATCATGCTTCAATATTGTTATATCTACAGTCCATTTGGCTTTTAGCGTAAAGTACCATTAGCGAAATGTGTTTTAAAGTTTTGAGGGAATAAGTTCCCTCACGGCCAAAAATTATTTAAACTAATCCTAAATGAAAAGGAAAAATATACATTGATAAATATTTTGGTATAAACTTCAAGCTGAACCTTATGACAGGAATGTCAAGGGAAATCTAAAACTCAAAAGTCACCAAAAAACACTCATTGTAAAATGTGGTTAAGACTATTCAATAAAAAAATATAAATTTGATAAATTGTGTCTACAAAATTACAAAATCATTCCCTGAGGCTATTTGTCAAATACTTTTAGCTTTTAGCGCAACATTTCGTGTTCAAGGAAATAATTCCTAGAAATAGAAATCTTGTTTCTCTTTTATCCCCTAAAATTCAACTACAGAAAGATTTCTTAGACAGGTTAAGAGGTTATACATTAGTTTAGGATACTGGTAGGAACTTTTGTAGTATGGTTTCCGCTAATATAATATTATAATATATAGATTATTTACAATTGCTTGTACAGCTAGGTAGCTGATCATGGCACGAATCTTGAATCTATCTTTCACTTTGATCAAATGTGACATTCATTTGGATTTAAAATTTGGTTTCTGAAGCTGACACAGAAGGTAAACCGGACATGAGCCTGTCAAGTTATAGTATTTTTAGATTCCTAATAAGGATTGATTGAAGTTTTTTTAAAACATAAAAGACTTATAGGTACAAGTTTATTAATGAATCATGGACTTGAACCCGCTTAAATCAAATATTTATGAACTGCTCATTTTGCACTGATTTATTTATAAATCATAACTAATTCCAACCCCAAATTCTCCTAAAACAGATATTAGGCTATTAAATATATAAATAAAAAGCTAGGATTGTGGAATTTCAGGTAGAATAGTTAGAATAAGGCTTCATCTCTCTTGACTTACTTGATTTACTTGAGAAAATCTTGCTGAGAATTTTTCTAACAGTTCCAACATCGTTATTCTTTACGGCATGAAGAAGATCAAGATCTTTTCCCATACTGAAATGTCCTACTTTTAGGCCAGGAATACGAAGGTTTTGAAGCTTGAATACGATGTAAAACCTTGTTCTCCTTGGCAAATGGAAATTTTATATTACTAAGAATTAACCAGTTTGAATAATTAATTCATTTTGGAGGTAGAATTCACGCGATGTTGCTGGAATTCGCTCAAAATCAAGCTTATTTACTCTGGTTTGCCATGAGGAAGTTAATTTAAGGATTACCGCTCCAATGATGTTCAATTATTTCTAAATATTGATGGCCATTTGCACAACATATAAGTTCCTTGCTTGTAGTGTAAACACGAGTTCTACGGCAGTTCTACGACATTCCATCGATTAGACTGAAATCATGTCGGGCCCAATTCGGATTTTACAGATCGTACGTCATGTCCGGTTTGAAGGGCTCATTGAACAGCAACTCTAGATCTCTATCTGTCAAAATTTTAAATAAATCCCTATTCTTATTATATAGCCTTCAAATATATGTCCTAAGGATTACTACATAATACATTTATTAATATTTTGGCTATGATGATTAGATTTAGAGCCGTTTTTATTAAGAGGTATTCTGACAAAAGTACATGCAAGCGGAAGGAGGTTTATTTGAAGGGAGTTTGTTATTTCCGGAGCGGTTCACCGTCACTTCCGGTGTTTTGGTTCATATAGCCTATTTTGGAAAACTAAGCCAGTGGAAAGAAAGCAATATGTGATGAGAATATTAATCGTTCTTCAAAGATAGCGCCAGCTAACGAATAATGAGAAAGTCTGTCATGCAAAATGGGTAAAAATGGCGTCTTTGAGAAAGATGAAAAATTAAATTTATGGATACTAATCAAACGAGTTACAAACGCCAGGAACCGACAACAGACAGATAGACAGACAGATAAACAGACAGACAGACAGAATAATGAGCCGACATAAAAGACCGACAGATTTACGGACAGACAAACGGATGTAACGATAGACATGACCCCCCGAGGCTTATGAACTACAGAAGAAATGGATCGGAAGAGATTAATGGTTTGACCAGACATCCTTGCGCACAAGTGTACAAAACAAGTGCAAAGGAAACCATGTATTAGTTGAGAAATTAAAAAACTGCCGGGTATTTCATCATAAGATAAACGTTCTGCTAAGTGCCACGAAGAAAATAATGAAGTAGTTCGTGTTGTGTACCGAGAAAAGACAAACACGTCAAATTGAAATCTATTGAAATTTCTTTACAAAAATAGAAGTGCTTTAAATCGATTTAGTTGAGAACAATACGCCACGCCCTATAGGCGTTCACTGGGTTGCCTGTATCGGGTACAGAGGCTTAGGCAGCTGAAGAAGTTTGCGATGTTAGTCAAAAGATAATGGAATGTTTCACAGGAAAGAATGATTTCATTTGACTAGTCTTATCCCTTTTCTTGGCATTCTCCACGTAAAATATCCACAGTCCACACTAAAAAAATGTATCCTATCTTGATTAAGTCAAGTATGGCCGCCGTATCAGTAGAAAGACCTAAACCAATCGGCAACTGACTGCGTGCGAAATGCTTTTCGTTAACATGCAGCAACTTGTTTCTTATATAGCAATTCGTCTAACTTGCTGCATGTCCCTTATGTACTAACGTTCATCTTTTGGGTATTACATTTTCATTTTTCTTAACTAATAAAAATAACCGAAGACCATACTCCCAGACCCGAATGCTGAAGCGTCGTATGGCAGCGCGAAGCATTTACGGCTATGCCAGAGATTTCGACCCCAACACCGCTATCCCCGGGAGGAATTACAGCCTGATCAGGAAGCTCGGCAGAAGCCTAAGGGAGAGGTTAGTCGGCCCCTAGACCATAGATGATTAACCCCTTGCTATGACCAGCAGACCTAATATGAAGCCCTTGTCGCTGATGTCTAGGTACCATCGATCAGTCCTTTCCATGTGGGATGCGTTTTGAAAAACTAGCACCAATACTTTTCATTTTTGACGCTTGTATTGACTTTTAGGCCCCGTCCACACGTATCCGGAAATTTTTGTATCCGCAATTTTTCTCTCTTTTTTTTTTTCGTTTTCGAATCGTTTTCACTGTCTACACGTATCCGGCAATTGTTTTGATCCGCCCTGATGCACGCTAGTGCCTAGTCTCTTTGACGGATAGTTTTTCTTATTGGACATGCGCAAAATCGTGTTTACGTCAGCGTATTCGAAAATTTGCGGATACGACCGTCCACACGTATCCGTATTCGGAGCGTATTCGAAAATTTCCACTCTGGAGACCGTTTTCAAAAATTTCCGGATACGGATACGAAAATTTCCGGACACGTGCGGACGCAACCCGTATCCGCAAAAGAAATTTTGCGGATGCAAAAATTTCCGGATACGCGTGGACGGGGCCTTAGTCCATCATGAAAGAATCACAAAAAGGCAAAGGGGATTTAATAAACCGCACCGGAGCAAGAATCGAAGCATCTCTGTCTGTCATCAAACCTTTTTTTCTTACTGCGGTTTGGGTTTGGAGTCCGAATTCAGCGTTTGTGTTTTCGATAAGTAAAGACAGATGATCTTTAGGTTTGTGGGAAACTTTATGGGCACAAATTTATCCAAAACCCCTCTTTAACTTTGCAAATTCAACAT